TGAGTACCATTGAGTTGGAACCGATCCATAGCTGACCCTCCAGTGGATTTTCAGAGGCATGGGAGGAGATTGCCCTTCCTTCTTCAGCAGAGTTGCTGGTGGATTTGAGCCTCCTATCTTTGATATTCTAGCACAGGTTATTACCCCTAGAACAAAGGGAAAGAAAACGAGAAAATAAGAATGTCTGCAATTCATTGCAAATCTAGCAGTAATTCAGTTAAAGTTTAGCACCATTAAAGTTTTCTATCTTATTCACTGAAAAGATAATTTTTGGTACAAGGTCCAGAAGGTTCCATTACTATGTTAACAGAAGGGAGAATTACTTAGCTATGGATTGCAGGACAGAGAGACAAATCACAACAATTAAAGGATTTAAGCTTGACAAGGAAATCTTCCTCAAAATTGTCCTTCTAGACCAAGAGGATAAAGGGCTCCAACCTGAAAAAGAGGTCTCCTTCAATTGTCTATCTGCATTAGGAAGACACTTCTTCCTATTGAAATATTATTAAGGAATTAATTAGTTAAAACAATTAGTTTCTTATTTGTCAGGCTAGGACCATGGTCAAAAGATTCAAGGAGTGTCAACATGTCAGCAAAGGGAGTGAAGAGCCTCCTTCATCTGATTAAACTACCATGGAGTGCCCCACACTTCCTTCCTTAAACCACAATGGGCTCTCCCTCCCTTCCCTCCCTAAAGACCCTTACTATAAAACCTGCCCTAATCCACTTTAGGGCATGGTATTTCCCTGGTCTGTCCCTCTGCCTGTTTCTCTCTGAACACCAAGGAATCCTGCCTGGGAGACCCCTTAATAAAGCTTCTTTAGCTTCCTTTCTTTCTCTGGTCCCTTCCTTGAGTCCTTGGCCTTATGTCCAGTGCAAAGGCCTAACATTATTGTTCTCTTACTTGTTTCAGTTTGCACAAATGATTAAGCACACAGTTAAAACCCACCAAGACCTATCTTGGAAGAAAGATCTGGTAGATGGGCAGTCTGCTCCTGCAAGATCACAGAAATAGAAACACTGTGGAGAAAAATTCTACCCCCAAACACATGGAATCAACTTAATGACAAGGGTTTTTGTGTCTCCCCTCCTCTCTCTGGCATATGCCTCCCTCTCACGTGAAGTTCTCCAGTTTTCTGTCTCTATCTCTTCAGTAATAAATGTGAATGCATGAAGTTTCTATCCACAGAATGACAGGAAGCCCTGTGTGGTGTGAAGATTAAATGCTAAAGTATTAGCGACACCAGATCAGAAATGTTGGCAATTGGAACCCACCCAGAGGTGCATAGTTCTACTTTGCATATATGGAGTCATTATGAGTCAGAATCAATTCTAGGATAATTAACATCAACAATGGGGTGTCAGCTGGGCAAGTTACTTTGCATTAGTGAACTTATTCCCTAAATGGGGAAAAGGAACTTTATAAAGATTAAGACTTTGAAACGCATTATAAAATGGCAATCATGTAAATTACAGGCATGCACCATAGAACATCAGTTCAAGCAATGTCCAACTGCATACACATTCTGCTCCCAATCCGCCTAAAGCCTATTACATTAAAAATTCAAAGTACATACAATGGCTCATAATAACAAATGGGTGCTACTTTGAGATGAGCATCGAAACATGTAGTAAGAGTTGTTGTACATTGCCATGGAGTTGGAATCCACTCATGACTGATCCTCTGGTGGGCTTTTAGAGGCTGTAAATTGCATGGGAGGAGATTGCCCATTTTTCTCCCATGGAGCAGCTGGTGGATCCAAATAACTTAGTTTTGTGTTAAAAGTGCAACTCCTCATCTATACATTAGTCTGCCACAATCTCTTATTATTATTATGGCATCATTATGTTAAAGATGTTTTAAAGTATTAGATGCTTCTTTAATGCATAGAAAAAAAACAAGTGGATTCTGACTCAAATGACCCTCCACTGGGTTTCTGTAGGACGGCTCTGAACCACTCTAGTGGTTAGCCCACTGGATCCACCACATCCACTATACATAGAAAGTATACTACAGATACTAAGACATTTAGCCAAATGACATTAGGCACAAATTGAACCTGACTGTTCTTAGTCAAAATTTTATTTAAAAATCTATTTAAGAATAAGTCATCATCTGGGTGCTGCCTGTATGTAATAATAATGGTGTTTACATAACATCAGATCACATAATGCTTTATTTCACAGAACATATCCCAGATGTTAAGCGACATGACAATATTAAGTCTCAGAATTATTTGCATCCTTGGCTCAGAGGAAGCAGGTGGAATTTCCATTCTCTAGTGAGGAAAGAGTCTGTTCAGAATCTCTTAGAACACAGGTGTGTGGGTTCTTGGAGGGTATCTCAGAGAGAAGTGAACCCCTGAAGCATGCTTTTGGTGAATGGGTGCTGGAAATTAGTCCCTTGGATTGCTTTTCCCTACTTCCTCTTCCTTCTCTCTGCACATCAGCTCAGCATCCTCCCGGTTTACAGCATTTCCTTGACCCAGTGTGGTGTGTAAGAACTGGCCAGCCAAGTCGCTTTGCAGTTTGAACCCACAACTTAACCTCTCTCATGCCTCTTCCTATTTTCACACTGAAGACTTGCAACAGTTGAATGAATTGTGACTCAGACCAACCCTCCTCTGGTGGCCTAGTGGTAAGAAGCTGCACTGCAATCTCAAACGTTCGTGGTTCGAATCCAGCAGCTGCTCTGCGGGAGACAGAAGGGCACTCGAGTGATTTACTGCCTCTGAAAATGCACTGGAGGGTCAACTATGGATTGGTGTCGAATCGATGGCAAAGTACAACAAATCGCTACTGGAAGAATTATGCCCATCTTTCTCCCTAGGAGTCACTGCAACAATCAAGTGGATTCTGGTGGATTAAAAAGCTCCTGAGAAGCAAGAAGGAGGAACATTGGGACAAACTAGTGATGAGATGCAAAAATAGTGGAATTCAGATTTCCCTCTTTCTGTGTAGTCCAGTTTTCCACTTGCCCTACTCTTTCGCATTAGTGAGGCTATTCTACCTACCAAGGAATCGCTAGTGGCAAGGATGTTACTTGCTGGGCTGCTAACCAAGAGGTCAAGAGGTCGCAGATCACCAGGAGCCGCTGGAGAGAGATGGTTAGTCTCCTTCTGTTAAGAATTATGTTCCCAGATAAAACAACTATGAGATATCATCTCACCCCAGTCAAAATAGCAAAATTTAACAGAACAGCAAGCAACAAATGCTGGCGAGGTTGTGGAGAAACTGGAACCCTGATTCACTGTTGGTGGGAGTGTAAAATGGTGCAACCCCTGTGGAAAGCAGTATGGCACTTTCTCAAAAAGTTGCAAATAGAGATACCATTTGACCCAGCAATTCCACTACTAGGAATATACCCTGGAGAGACCATAGCTGACATCCAAGCAGATATATGCACACCCATGTTTATTGCAGCTTTGTTCACAATAGCAAGGAGTTGGAAACAACCTAAGTGCCCATCAACAAACGAATGGCTAGAGAAGCTGTGGTATATTCGCACAATGGAATACTATGCTGCATTGAAAAACAAGGAACTCATGCAATATTATTCAAAATGGTTGACTCTGGAGAACATTATGCTGAGTGAAATATCCCAGTCACAAAAGGACAAATATTGCATGATGCCACTGTTGTAGTATGGGACTAACCTCGGGGTTGGGGAGAGACTGAGTAAGATGGGTTCAATAATGTATACTGCACTGAAACAGAGGAGGGAGAAAACTGTTTAAAAGAGATATGTGACTAGGTATTTCTGTCATGACAAGAGTCTAGAGCGATGGCTACATGGTGGAGGGGACCTGGGGAGGATTTGTAAAACAATGAAAAAATCTTTTCTTTTACTTTTCCATAATTTTTGACTCATATACTTTTGACTTGTTAGTTAAATTTGTGTCTTCTAGGTTGCAACACCCCCATGATACATCTTCAAGGATATGAACATGTACGGCTAAGCACAATTAATAACAGTGCATCTAAATTCCAAAATCAATCTCCATAATAGTCTATGTGTTTCCTACTGCCAAAGGGGCCCTTTAGAGTAGGGAGAGAAGATCTTCACCCTGAAACCCACAGCATCCCTTTTCAGTAGGAAGTAGCTAAGAGAATACGCCATCCCCTTTTCCTTATGAATCAGGGTGAAGACTCTCTCAGGGAGGAGTGATAGGGAATGGCAAAGGACACACTGACAAAGGAGATTAATCAGAACTGGCTTTGACAAGCACGGTGGCAATTGGACAATTAAAACAGACATTCGGATGGCGGGGGAAGAAGAACAAACTGGGGAGGAGGGTAGAGAGAACGGTGCAGTAATGAAGGAATGAAAACCCAAAATCCCTGTAAATGTTCATTAAAACTAATAAAATTTAATAATAATAATAATAATAATAAAAATTATGTTCCCAGAAACCGATGAAGGGTCTCTGAATCAGAATTGCGTGGCTTTACTACAGTGGGTTTAGTTTAGTATCTCATTTGCTGGTTTCATCTCGCCTATCCGGGACCCATCCCGGAGGCCGGCACGCACCGCCCCTTTAAGGGGAGGGCTTCTCACGACCCTGACCTCAGCCCCGCCCCCGCCCTGGGCCGCTCTGCGCCTGCGCCAAGCTCCGGAGCCCAGGGGTTGGGCAGAGCGCAGTTCCGTGCAACTTTCAAGTGAGTTGCAAACTCCGCCCCCGAGGCCGGTGCAAGTTGCGGGACACGGCCGCGGCGAGGATCCGCACCGGCGAAGGCCGCGAGCCACCACTCCTCATCAGGAACAAGCTGCACGAGGGCTTAACGCCTGATTTTCTGCGACAGGAAGTGCCCGGGGGAACCGTAACTGCCCGAGAGGCCCGCTCTCACCTGGGCTTGCTGGGGCTGCCTCGTCCCCGGTCCACTGGCCTCTGCACTCCTGAGGCTCCCAGCATTTCGGAGAGAGTGGGCCGAGGTTCTGGCCGTCCGTGAACTGAGAGCCGGACGCACCCTCGGGTTCTGCATCTCCACTGAAGACGTCCCTCTGGGCGTCTTCTTGGGGGGGTTCCGCTCGACACCAAGGCTGCCACGATGGTGTCCCGGTTGATCTGTCGTCTGGTGGTGTGAGTATGGCCTCTTTTAACTTTTCCCTATTCCCAGGGTACCAGCCTGCTCTTGGGGTGGGAGCTAGAAACATCTGGGACTTCCTACTGGAAAAACATCGGAAAGGTGTCTTTCTGAGCTGCATCACACTTCTACGCCGCCTCCCACCATTCACTGCAAAGAGTTAACGGACTAGTAGGCCAGTTTACAGGCTTCTAAGCATCACGTGGTTTACATCCGCCTCCCCACCCCTTCCCCAGCCCCAAGAAAACTTGGGAGATGGCGACCCTTCTTGCATTCCATACACATGCAGAAGAGTGCGTGGGGCGGAGAGTCACAGGCTTGCTCTCCGTCTCTTGGCAAACACAAGTGTTGTGGCACGCTGTGGGCGGAGAATCCAGGTGTCTACTGCGCAACCGAGCAGCCACGTGACTCACCAATCTGGCCTCAGCCTCCCCATTCTGTCCTAATCCTCACCTTTTGAGTATTCCGGCAGTTGGCTCGAATATCCCTGTCTGCAACCTGGCAGTGCCAGGTCTGGTGGCCCTGGGCCTGATTACATGCCCATGGGAGGGGGACACCTGTGCTCTCACCTCTGCATAATCTGCCTCCCACCCAGTTCATTGAGTGGCTGTGTGCTCTCTCCATCATGTACCCATGGGCCACTGGTGCAGGCCTGGACAGGCTTGGGGTGTTTGTAAACAGCAGGGGGGGAGGCGGCCTCTAGGGCGCTGACTCAGGTGCGGGTTGTGCAAGCCAAGCGGGAAAAACAGGGCAGGCATTGCCACTTTGTACACAATGAGGGAGGTAGTCACCTGGCGGGGTTGGGGTGGGACATGGGGTCCCTCACACTGCCTCTCCTTTCTTTCTCAAATGCTCATCCAGGCTGGCATTTGGGATGCTCTATCCTGCCTATGCTTCCTATAAGGCTGTGAAGACCAAGAACATTCGTGAATATGTGAGTGCAGGGATGGAGAAGGTTGGGGTTGAGCAGGTTGGCCTAACAGTAGGGGAGAAGGGTGCATGTCACAGGACTTAGCACCCACAGGACATGGTAACTTGGTGATCGGGGGACCTCTGAGCTGGCCTCCCTTCCTCCACAGACAGATCTTGGGGCATATCCTGAGTGCAGCGGGAAAGAGAAGGACCCGCTTGTGGGAGTGAATGGAGTGAGGGATGCCAGCCCAGGCCTTGGGGTGACTAGAAGATCATGTGGGCAAAGCCCTTGGGGGTGTGGACAGCAGTTTCTCAGGGTGCCTGTCCAGGGCCAGCCAAGCTGCTGAGGGAATACAGCACTCAGGCTCTTTAGAATCTCTGTGCTGGGCCTGCCAGGTGGAAGGAAGAGGCTTAGCTGCTAATGTCTGACCTTTCTGTCTCCTGCAGGTCCGGTGGATGATGTACTGGATTGTCTTTGCACTCTTCATGTCGGTGGAGACCTTCACAGACATCTTCATCTCCTGGTATGAGGAGTAGGCGTGCTGAGGGGTGGGAGAGCCACCCTTGCTTGGCTTGACTCCTCACCTTACTTGCTCTTCTATGCTCTGGCAGGTTCCCTTTCTACTATGAAATCAAGATGGCCTTTGTGCTGTGGCTGCTCTCACCTTATACCAAGGGAGCCAGCCTGCTTTACCGCAAGTTTGTCCACCCAGCCCTGTCCCGCCATGAGAAGGTACCCCGGGGGCTGAGAGGATACAGGCATCAGGGGACACTTGCGGGAAAGAGCCTTGGTTCAGGGCTTGGAGACACTTAGTTCTAGTCCCAGGCCTTCTGCTCATTTAACTGTGAGACCTTGGCAGAGGCTAGCCTTTCTCATCTGCCACAGTGGTCAAATAAGATATGCATGTGAGTGGCCTATTAGGGCCATGGTTGATGACATAAGTCTTCCCCTTCATATTCTGGCTCTTTACCGATAGCTCCTGGGCATCGTGGATGGGGCTAGACCTGAGAAGCATGGTGACCAGGAGCTTCTCTGGGGTGTGCAATAGAGAAATATCTGCAGCTAACCTTCTGAACTCTCTTTCCCTGTGTCTGCAGGAGATTGATACTTATATAGTGCAGGCCAAGGAACGCAGTTACGAGACGATGCTCAGTTTTGGAAAGCGGAGCCTGAACATTGCTGCCTCAGCTGCTGTGCAAGCCGCCACCAAGGTGCTGGCCCTTTAGCACTCCAGCAACCTTTGCATCCCACCACAGGGCCTTTTGGGTGATTCCAGCTCCTTAGTCAGGGAGCCAAGAGATAGTAGTTTTGGGAACAGGGGTGAGAAGATGATAGGTGGGGTATTGGCAGGAGTATAGGGCTGGAAATTTAGGTTCCTGGATCTGACACCAATTGTGAGCAGGTTGTTCCTCTTCTCTGGGCCTTGAATATTTGTGGGTGCCACAAAGGCCTGGAGCTAGATAATTGCTGAGCTCCTTTCAGTTCTGTGTCAGCTGGACCCTGACTGCCCTGGTCAGTTGCCCGCTCGGAGCGCCTCTCACTCCTCCCAGGTGGGTTCACAGCTCCCCTCCCTCACAGAGTCAGGGCGCACTGGCTGGCAGGCTGCGGAGCTTCTCCATGCAGGACCTGCGTTCTATCCCCGACACTTCTGCCTCCACTTACCAAGATCCCCTCTACCTGGAAGACCAAGTGCCCCATCGGAGACCACCCATCGGTGAGTGGACAGCAGAGGAACCCCTAGCTGTCCTGGGAGGAATGGTTTCATTCTGTGCAAATTGTGACTTCACCCAGGTCTGGAGGAAGGTTTGACTCAGTCCTGGCTCTCTAAATTGTAGAAATGCTGTGCTTTGCTTCACCCTGTCTCTATGTCCTTCACACAGGGTACCGGGCAGGGGGCCTGCAAGACAGTGATACAGAGGATGAGTGTTGGTCAGATACTGAAGCCATCCCCAAGCCACCAGCCCGACCCCGCGAGAAGCCCCTAAGCCGTAGCCAGAGCCTGCGTGTGGTCAAGAGGAAGCCACTGGCACGAGAGGTCAGTGACAAAAAAGATGTGGAGGTAGGCTGCCCAGGTTCTCAAAGCCCAGCTCTCTCATGGACACCTGGCCTCTCTCCCCAGGGAACCTCACGCTCCCTGAAGGTTCGGACAAGGAAGAAGACTATACTTTTGGACATGGACAGCTAGAGTCTGAGAAGTCTGGGCCAGTCTTACCTCATGCACTGCAGGAGGCTGGGGACCATTTTGAAGGGACCTTCGGCTGCATATCAGATTTGGCCTGCCTGCATCAGCTGCCTCAGCTCTGCCCCTCTTGGCCTCTGCTGTTGGTTAAGGACCAGGGGCAGGTGCTGCCAGGGGCCATACCCAGGGATACACCCACAATGTACCAAAGCAGGCTGACCCAGAGTTTAATTTATTGCCTTCCTCATCCATAGGTATGGGACCAGAGTTCACCCCCTCCCCTGCAAATGAAACCAAAAGCCCACCCAACTCTGTTCTTTCAAGATACTTGATAGGCCTTTTCTAAGGCCTGTGTGTGTGTGTGTGTGTGTGTGTGTGTGTGTGTGTGTGTGTTCTGGTTGTATGTTTTGTTTTGGTGAATGAGGTCAGGCTTGTGAATGTTTTGATTAAAAAACAGTCATGAAAGTGTTTGGTTCCCTCTAGTTTATATCCCACTCCATCAAACACCAACCATCAAGCAATTCTTAAATGGCATACTGAGGACTAGTGCTAAAATGACAGGGCCCAGGGGAGCCCACAGTCCTCCGGAGGAGACAGAGGATCCACAAATAATTATCCTGGGTCAAGGGTAGTGATGGGAGAGTTCTTTGGAAGTCCTGAGAACAGTCCTGAAAAGGGAGGCCCTCAGAAGACAGGATTAGAGCTTGATTGGAAGGTACAGTTGTGCGACAGAGAAACCAGTGGTAGCAGAAGTGTGGAAGGAATTTGGGAAAGCACATTAGTCAGCTGAGGATGTTGAGCTTGTGTACAGCTTGGGTCAGGGGAGACCTGATTCCTCCCTGAGCCTGCATTGAGAGTCGGGGGTCTAGGGTACACCTGGGCCCTTTAGTTCTTAGGCGATCAGAGGGAGCATTGCACCGCTATGACCACAAGAGGGCAGCAGCAGCCATGGTCTCGGCTGCCCTCAGCTTCCAGGTCAAAGAGGGCGGGGCTTGGAGGCTCTCCCGAGCCTCGCCCAGGGAGGGGCCTGGCCGCCGGCTGGCTGCGGGAACCATGCGGCCCTCCCCTCCAAGAGTGAACCCTAGTCCTCCCCCTGCCTCAGCCACTGCCCTCTCCTCACCTGGCCTTCTGCTATCCTGACACCCATGCTAGGCCTGGTCTGGGTCCGTTCCATCCCCTGTTCTAAACCCTGAGGCGGCCAGCAACCTTGCTTCCGCCCTCTCCTGTCCCTGGATGCTGGTCTCATGGCTGTGTCCCTGGGCGGCCCCTCTTTTAACCCTTCTGCCTGCTCTCCTCACTTTTGATTAAGCAGAGATGAGTGAGAAGATTGGATAGAAAGAAGGGAAATGAGGTGGTAACCCGAAGTGGCCTGAGAGAATGTGGATTAACTCTTGGTGTGGGGATTAGCTGGGTTTTATTTCGGGGGAGGCACTTAATCTGCTGGGGCAGTTTAGCTGCTGGGTGGTTTAGCTTTTCACATATTGGTGCTCTCTGGCTTCCTGTCATAGTGTCTCCTTGTATCAGCGTGTTCTCTTTCCTCCACATTTATTCATTCAGAAAATCTAGAGCATCTACCAGGTACCAGACACCATGCAGAATGATCTAGGGCGACGAGGACCACACTAGAGTACAATCGTCACACACGAGATGCCGCTGTCAACCCTTGATATGTTGTTGTTATGTGCCGTCGAGTTGCTTGCGACTCATAGCGACCCTATGTACAACAGCTCTAAACTCTGTTCTGTGCCAATCTCTTTGTCTCCGACACACATCCCAATTGCCCCAGTCACCAAATAATCCACCTCCCAGAGGGACTTGCCCTCCTGCACCTGCCCTCCACCCTCCCAAACATGATGTCCCTCTCCAAGGACCTGTCTCTCCTTACAACATGACCAAAGTATGTCAGACGAAGCCTCAGAATCCTTGCCTCCAAGGAGCAGCCCGGTTTAACCCTCCAGGATGAATCCGTTTGTTTTCTTAGCAGTCCATGGTACCCTCAACACTCTTCTCCAACACCAAAGCTCAACAGCATCAATTCTCCTTTTATCCTCCCTGGTCATTGTCCAGCTCTCTGACGCATAACAACTGATTGCAAAGACCATGGCCTGTATCAGACGCACCTTAGTCTCCAGAGACACACTGTTGCTCTTCAGTACTTTGGAGAGGTCCCTAACAGCAGACTTTCCCATGGCAATGTGCCTTTTAATTTCCTGGCTGCTGGTGCCAAGAGTTGATTGTGGAGCCAAGCCGACTAAAGCTGTGAACAATCTCAATCTTCACCATCCATCCTGATGCTGCCAATTGGTCCAGTGGTGAGAATCTTTATCTTCTTGATATTGACCCTTGATATAGATCACTATAATCCAATCATCTCATGGTCTAGGTTCTATTGTTATAATCTCCATTTTTACAATGGGAATGCTGCACAGGGAGGGTGAGGAATTTGGTGAAGGTTACACAGCCAGCAGTGGCAGAACCGGACTTAGAACTGGCAGTCTGGCTTCAGTCAGTGTACCTATCCATTGCAAAGCAGTATTGGAGTGAGATGCTTCTTGCCTAGGAATCAGAGAGCAAAGTACTCCACATTTGGTGTGTGCTGGATCTGCTGGCCGTTTATGGAGAATATTTCCCTTGAGTCCTCCCAGAAAGTCTGTGAGGTGTAATTTTATAGACAGAAATATCAGCGCTCAGAAATTTGAGGCAATTTGTCCATGAAGATTGCCCATCAGACAGATACTCTGTCTTCTGATGCATGCCTGCCCTTGGGATGGATGGACCAGGGCATCCACACGCCAGAGCTGAGTGAACACACATGATTTCCAAAACATAGAATTAGGAGGCAAAAACGAAATGAACATTCAAAGGAAAGCAAGGTGGAGCGAGGCCTGATGTTCAGTAGTGAAGGGATCACTGGCTGGGTCTGCACTTGACTCATCCCTATAAGGAGTGCTCAAGGAGGCAAGAGGGTTCCTGGGACCCCTTTGCTGAGGTGACTCTTAAGGCTCCATGACCTCCAACGCACCCCTCCAGCCTCATCCCCTGCCCCACAAAGCCTACTCTCAGCCACGCTTGCTCCTGTTCCTGTCTCCTGGGGACACTGCACTCGCTCCACTTGGGGCTTTGCTCAGGCTGTATGACTCTCCTGCCCTTCAAGTGGTGGTGCTCCCACTGTCATTGACCATCTTTCAGAACCTGCTTTTTCTCAGAAGACTTTCCTCTCTCATCAGCCCCTCAAGTTCCTGTGGCGTTTGATCGCTGGCCTTATGATGAGCATACGTAAATCCTGGGCTTCACTGATGTACTCATTACCTTTCCCACCCAACTGGCCTTCAGTATACCCCAACTAATCAGAGTTGCCCAGCTCATCAGCAGATTGCTGGGTACCTCCACACAGCTGGTGGCTGCTTTTGATATCCTCCTACCTCTGTTCTTTTCCTATGTGACCTTCAAAACTCTAGGACCATATCACCTCCTCTAGGAAGTCCTTAGAGTCCACTGCTCATCACCTCTTGCACAGAGCACATTTTAATATTTTAACAGTGGAATTGTAACTTGAAGAACAGACTGGCATCTTATTCACTCTTATGTCTCAGTTTGGGGACAAATGGTAATTGACAAATGGTAAGTGAAATACCTGTTGAAGTGTGTGGCTCTGTAGTGAAGAGTGACTTATTCTCTGTCAGTTTAAGCATCATCTCCTCTGTGAAGCCCTCTGGCCTTCCTCAGGGTGGGGTTAGAAGAACCTGTAATCATGTGTTAATAGACTTAACTCCCTGTAACAATTACCCAGAGAGCCTAGCACAGGGCCTGACACCCAGCAGGCCTTAAGGAATGTTTGTAGATAAAAGTATCCAAATGCACTTAAGTGATTATAAGCTCCTCAGGGTTTGGGGTGGCTGGTGCTTTTATCTCTGTGCTCTGTATCTTCTTGGTGTCCACCACAGTTCCTTGAAAATGTCCATCTCTGTAGAATACATATTTGATAAATGGCTGACTGCCGTTGTAAGGGATCCAAGGTGTCCTGGGGCAGAGGAGAAGCAGCAAGGAGAATTCCAAGTTCTGGGGCATTTCTGGCCAAGTGCACATGTGATCCTGAGGCTCTGGGCATTGGGTGGTGGCTGGCCTTCCATCAAAGCTTACACTGTCCCTCTGAGGGTTATTGAGGCCCATCCTCTGTCCAGCACCGCCTCCCTTTGGGTGGAGTCTCTGGTCTACCCTTTACCCCCTCTGTCCTAGCCTCTTGAGGAAGGCCCCAACCTTCCCTACTTTCACCAATGTTCCTACTGCCTCCCCAGGCAGGATCAGGCCTGGGCCTTGGCTCAGACAATCTACCCGAGACATGGATGCTCCATGCTCCATGCTGGGCACTGAGTAGGCAGATGAAAGAGTCAAGACCAGCTGCATTGGAAGCATTACTTCTGGTGGCCTTGGTAGCAGCCCCTCAGGAAGTATGGTCTGGGCTCACTCTTCAGTCACCCTACCTGCACCTTGCCTGGTCCTAATAAACTCCATTTCCTCCAGGTTCTCAGAAGCTCCCAAAGTTCTTCTTCCTTCTTGTTTCCTCCCCCCCCTTCCCATCCCCTCATCTCCCCACTATCCCTAGGTCTTCAAGGTTGTCCTCTATCTCACTGCCTCTCTCTTCATCTCCCCTCACTCTCCCTTTGGGCCTGTGGCCCTTCTGTATCCCAGTCTCCCTCCTCTTCGCCTCCACGTACCCAGCACACACATAGTCCCACTGCTGTATTTTTAGCTGCCAATCTCAGCCACGTAATTAGCCCCTTGTTTCAACATGACCCCAGCCCAGGCTTAGGTGGGGAGTCCTGTTGGCACTACACCACCCTTGAGGAATTTGAAGAGAGAGGTACCCAAAGTTCTCACCTCCTGCCTTAATCCTACCCACCAAGGACAGGGGCATCTTCTACCTGAGTTTGGGACAGAAGCTGTGGCAAGAGGATGCCTCAGGAAATGATGGGACAGGACTGCTGTTGCTAGGTAGAAAGGTTCTGAGCCCTGGGCAGAATGGAGGGTGCATTCCCTAAGAGGGTGGTTAGATTTTAGGGGTGGGGGCTGAGGAAGAAGAAGAAGGGGGTTGGGGAGGTGCTGACTGAGAAGAGGAATTAGGTCAGGGATGTGGGTGGGTGGGCAAAGAGGGGAGGGTGGCATCTGCCGCTGAGCTTCCTCCTGGCTCCAAAAGCATCTCCAGACTTCCCTTCCTCTTCTCCCTCCCCTCAGGTCCTGGGAGAATTCTCCCTGGTATTCCCCCTCCCCCCCCCTGTGCCCCACCCCAGGCATTGCCACAAGGGTGGGGGGTAGGGTAGGGGGAGGCCGGCCTCAGCTGTCTGAAGGATGGAGGGGCTGGGGAAGTAGGGCTAGGTGCCCAGACGGCCGCGTGTGTGGGAGGGGATGTCCTCAGATGCCCTCCACCCGGCAGTCCCCGCTCTGACGTGGGTGCCCCCCCTCTCCCCGCCCGGATTAGTGGCAGCTTGGCCTGACTCTCCGGGGCTCCTTCCCCCGCCCCCGCCTGCTGCCCTCCCCTGGGCAGGGGGCTGCTCCATCCGAGGGGCACTGTGCTTGCCCAGGTAAGGGGCTGTGGGGACGAGTGAGGGCAGCTGGTTTGTGAGTGGTGCTGTGTGTGTCAGCGTGAGTGTGTGTATCACTGCGTGTGTCCTGCTTGAGGGCTCAGTGTGGGTCTGGGGCTGGGCCCACATGCGTCTTGGGGTGCGGGTCAGCTTGTCTTTGACCATGAGTCCAGCATTGTGTCCATGCTTTGTGTGGCTTTCCTTTTGTGTTTGTGTCTTTTGTGTGTCTTCTCAGCTCTGCTCTGTCCTCAGACACAGATCAGCCGGCTACAAGGACTCTGTGGGCCTGTGGCATCGGCTGTGGGAGTAGGATGAGGGGTTAGGAGAGGGTAGAAAGGGGATCCTTACACCCCTCTTCCCCCCACATGTCCCTGGGCATTTCAGGAGCCTGTCCTGAGAGCCCTGGTCTAGCACAGGGCTAGATTTGACAAAACAGAAATGGCAACTGGGGTAGGGTAGGAGAGGTATCTGTTCTGTTCCCTTGGGACACTCTTCAGGTCTTTGGGGATGACAGTCACAAGCCACCCCCCTGCCCTGCTCTGCTGGCTCTTCCAGGCTCCAAGCCACAGGACTTTCCCACAAGCAGCCAGCCACTGAGGAAGGAACCCAGAGGACACAAATCTCAGGGACCACAGGCACACTCCAACCATCTTCATTCCTGAAGCCAGTGAGTGGGAGGATGGGGATGGGGGCCTTGGGATTCTCATTTGCTTTAGACCCTCCACAATCACTTCCCTTGGCACACTGAGGTCTAGGCTACCCCTTAGGAGAACTGGGGGGAGGAAGGGAGTGTTAATAACTCAGTCATGTAAACAAGCCCTACCAGCCTGCCCTGCCACAGAACTGGCCTCTGGGGGGAGCAGAAGGGGCTAGAGAACCAAGGCCAGAACAACTCAAGTTCTGCCCAGTGCCCACCCCTTCAGACCCTGAGTCCTTGTTACCCTTCTTCCTTGTAACTGGTAAAAGGCCCCTTGCCTTCTCTCCAGCCTGGGGGATGGGGATGGGGAAGGAAGGCTCCCTAACTTCATGCTTCCCTCTGGAGGTGATGGTGTGCCTTGGGACCAGGCTGGAGGCATGTGCGCATCCCTCTCATTGGAGTAGCCAGCTTGGAAATGGGGAGGGGGACAGCATCTCTCTCAGACATTGTGAGAAGCCAGGCCAAGGATGGCTTCTACTGAGAGGCCTGGGGAGTCCAGGGATGGGAGGTGGGTGCCTGAGGGGAAGGGAAGCGCCCCATGGGCGTGTGGGTTTCTGTGTGTGTGTCTGAATCTGTCTATGTGTGTTTGAATCTGTCTGTTTGTGTCTGTGCTCTGGAACCACCCCCGCAGAGCCAGGATGCTTCCTCGGGTGGAGGGTGCCCTGCTTTCCCATTTCCTCTCCTACTCTCTGCTCCCTCCCAGGAGCCACTCCCATGGGCTGATCTCCAGCGCGGCTCTGAGGCACCGGGTGTGCTAGAGATAGAGATGGGGAAGACCCCTGGAACTCAGGGATCCTGCTCTGGTCCCATCACTTACTTTTCTTAACACTAGGTGGAAACGCAGTCTTTAGAGAACGGGCCCACTAGCGCCTAGCCCCTCCTCGAATATCTAACTTGGGATACTTTCTGTCATTAGACCCCAGGAAAGAGTTTGGGTGGGAAACAGTGAAGAACATCTTGGCCAGGTGAGGAGGAGACAGGGCAGACACAGGCCAGCGGGTGTGTCCAAGTGCCAGCCCTGGAGAGGACCAGGAGCAAGTGGTCCAGCAGGCACAGGGCCCGGCTGGTGTGGGTCAGGGCGCCCATCACTGACCCGTGAGAACTCTACTGCCCCTGCCAGCTTTGGCACTGCCCCCTCCCAGCCGGCCCCGCCCTGGCACCCCGGGGGGCACCCCGCCCCATGGTGTCCTGGTCCAGCCCCTCCCGCCCTTTGCTCCAGTTCCCGGGCTTGGCACCTATAGTGGGGGTGCTGCCCGCCTGCCAGGCTCCGGGGCCGGGCCCACGGGAGGGTGGGGCGGCTGGGAAGCTGGCACGTTGCCCCGGGGGAGCCTCTCTCGGCAGGCGCCCGGGTGCCGCGGGGGGGAGGGGGGAACAAAGGGCTCATTCTCCCCGTGCGCAGCCGGTGGCATCGCCGGGGCGTTGGCGGAAGCCCCCGGGGCCCGGGAGGGGGCAGGCCCAGGCGGGGCCGCCGAATCACGGGCTCCTGTTTCCCGCAGGGTGCTGGAGGAGGAAACCGGCGGAGCAGCTTCCCCACTCCTCAGTTGCGTCTGGCGATGGCGATCAGAGGTCCTGCTGCGCTCTCCGCTGCGCTCTCCCTCCATTAGCCGCGCTGCGCCGTGCTGCGCCCTTGCTGGTGCCTTTCTCCTGGGTCCCGGGATCGGCCTCCCTTCCAGGCACGACCCCCTTCCCCTGTCCCTCGGCCTTTCCCCCACTCTGCCTTCTCCGACCCGGGGCGCGCGTTCCCCCCGGCCCGGCTACCTCTCTCCCTTCGGGGGCACCCGCTCCCTAGCCCGAGCCCGGCACTCCCCGCGGCGCAGCACGGAGTCTCGGCGTCCCATGGCGCAACCCACAGCTTCGGCCCAGAAGCTGGTGCGGCCGATCCGCGCCGTGTGCCGCATCCTGCAGATCCCGGAATCCGACCCCTCCAACCTGCGGCCCTAGAGCGCCCCCGCCGCCTCGGGGGAAAGTGAGCGAGCGAGCGCTGAGCGGAAAAAGCCAAAGGACGTGCTTTCGCCCGCCGGCCAGGAGGCCCCGGAGCCGGCCCATGGGGAGCGAGTGCCCGGTGCCGGCCAGGTCGCCCGCCGCCGCCCGCGCTGTGCCTGGTCCGTGAAGCCCAGGTAAGCACCGAGAGGGGGCGCCAGGGGAGCGCCTTCCGCGGAGACTCTCAGCCGGGATTTCTGAGCGCGCGGGACACAGGGACTGAGTTACCCGTGCCCCTTAGGGCTGGGCCACACATCTGAAAGTTGGGAAGCCGGCCGCTGCTGGACTGCGGCAGAGTGGTGGTCCCAGAAAACACTGGGGTCCTCTGCCACGGCTTCCTTGCCTCTGTCCTCAGGCGTCAGACTTCGCCGGGCTGGCCTGGGGGCCCGAGCGGAGAGAGCGCTTGCCTCTTTGGTGCCACCTGTCATCCTGGTCCCTTGCACGCACGTTCAATTTTCCCTCTCTTGCCGCTGTCTGGGGCCCGGCCCGCTTTCCCCGCCTCCTTCCCTCCTCCCGGCCAAACCGCAGCGAGCAGTGGCGGCTGGCTGCCCTGGCACTGCCGCCTGCGTTAGGGCAGCTTGACCCATTTCAGCGGAGGCCTCTTAATCCCCCTCTCCTCAACTGGCTCACTCCTCCTTTTAGGAGCAGGGTTGGAGATTTCAACCCTTACCAGTTGTCTTGGGCTTCAACTGGCTTCAGAAGCCAAGTTGAACACAGACAAGAGGCAGACTGCTCAGTTGTAGGAAGAGACAGCAGCCAGCGCTGGCTGACAGCCTCCTAGTGACTGCCCCAATACACTTACTACCTTATTTATAAGCCTGAGTCAGGGTCGGAGGGGGCTAGTAGCTCCCCAGCATACACTGTGGAAATAGCCTTCTGCCAATTTCTGAGCTATCCTGAAGAGAGGTAGTTCAAACCCACCAGCTGTTCCACAGGAGAAAGATAGTCAGTGTCCTCTCCTGGGACTTGTAACCTCTGACAACCCCCTTTGGATCAGTTCAGACTCAACAACAATGACTTTAAGAGTATTTTTACTTTCGTGGCCTAGAGGGTAAGGAGTTGTGTTGCCAACACAAAGGCAGGTGGTTCAAATTTACCTGTTGCTCTGGAGGAAGAAAGATGGGCATTCTCCTCCAATGTGACTTACAGCCTTGGAAAACCCATTGAAGGGTCCGTGATGGGTCAGTTCTGACTCCACGACAATGAGTTCTGTTGAGCATTTTGAGCACAATGACACTGAGACCTGTAAGAGTGGTGTAGACGTGCCCAAAGTCCTACAGCTAGTAACAGAGTCAGGACCTAACACTCCTGCCTTTCTACTGTGCTCACCCTGGCCGGTTTTTGGTGTTCCCGGTCTGGTCTTTTCCCATGGCTTGTGACCAGGTTCCTGGCTCAGTGAAGACAGTACAAATCATCCTAGAAAGGGCACCCTTTGCTGAGGGGGCTCAGTCCCAAGTGTGCTGCCAAATCCAAGGCTTTGGGGGAAGAGGTGGTCTCCCCACCTTGGGAAGCAGTGGAGTGCTCTCCCCAGTGGGGATCCTTTGCACCACCTGTGGTTAGGCCCTGTTGTACCCACCTGGGTAGACACTTGCTGTGCTGGTTTGAGTTGCCTTGGTGCTGCTAGGGCGGTGCTGCGCGAGATGGTAGAGTGCTTGGGGCAGGTGCCCAGGTTGTTCATGCTTTGATGATTATGCTCCAGGGACCTCTTTGGGAGAGCCCCATGAGGGCAGGAGAGTGATGGAGAGTACGCCCAGCTTCCTGAAGGACACCCCATCTTGGCAGAAGATAGCCTCTGAGAATGGCATCGTGGGACAGGAGCTGGGTACCTCACTGCAGGATGGCCTGCGCCACGGGGCACTGTGCCTGGAAGAGCCTGCTCCCTTCTGGAGGGGTGTCCTGAGCACCTCGGACTCCTGGCTGCCCCCTGGTTTCCATCAGGGTTCCAAGGACGCACTCCCACTGGTGGAGGGCGAGGGCCCTCGGAATGGGGAGAGGAAGGCCAGCTGGCTGGGTAGCAAGGAAGGGCTGCGTTGGAAGGAAGCGATGCTTGCCCATCCACTTGCGTTCTGTGGGCCAGCATGTCCACCTCGCTATGGCCCTTTGATTCCTGAGCAAAGTGGTGGCCATCCCAAGAGTGACCCTGTGGCCTTCCGGCCCTTGCACTGCCCCTTCCTTTTGGAGACCAAGATCCTGGAGCGAACTCCCTTCTGGATGCCCACCTGCTTGCCTCCTTACCTGGTGTCTGGTCTGCCCCCAGAGCGTCCCTGTGATTGGCCCCTGGCCCCATACCCTTGGGTCTACTCAGCGGGCCAGCCCAAAGTGCCCTCTGCCTTCAACCTAGGCAGCAAGGTGAGTGCCAGAACAGAGCGGTAACCTGGGGCTCAAACCACACCAGGGAGCTCGGTGGCCCTGGAGCAGCCCTGCCAGGGCAGCCTTCCTCCCTGTGCCCTACCATTCTGACCAAAAGATAAGACAGCACCCAAGTAGAGGCCTGGTTAAAAGGAGCCTACCATCTCAGAAATGTCCCAGGCCCCAAATCAACTCCATCTAACTAAGCCTCCCATGCCCATTTCAGAAACTGGCTCTCTCTTATCACCCCAGGGCAAGACACTGGGCATAGGGCCTTAGAATATGCAGCCTTTTGTTAGGGATATAGGCAAGTTCTGTGGAGATGTGTAGGCAGCACATGGGTGTCCCGTCTTGCATGAATGACCCTTATTTTCTAGGATGAGATTTAAAAATATTTTAAAAAGAGCCTGATATAAGGCAGTCAGAGCAGATCCTAGGGGCCCTTTGACTGTATCAGGCATTATGATTTTGGATGTGGGATAACGGAGAGGTCTGAGAATTCCTAGGGAAGGATCTGAGGGTATCAGGGTAGTGGGAGAGGCCCTAGAGGCCAGGGAGATGCTGTTTATGCAAATTCTTCTGTGCCTTCACCACCCTTAAGACCACACAGATGCATACCTGTGTGTCAGTTCTGCCCATCCCTTTATGCACTGGAGACTGAGGCCAGCACCAGCTTAACCTTTTCTCCTCCCTTTAGGGCTTTTACCACAAGGATCCAGGCAGCATTCTCAGGCTGGCAAAGGAGCCAGCTGCATCTGTGGAAGCTGGGGTGTTGGGCTTAGCCCCTGGTGGGCCCCTGCAGAGGGCCGGGGAGGTAGAACGTCCTCTGTTCCAACAGAGAGATGGAGAGACAGGAGCTAGCAAGCATCAGAATCTCTGCCCACTCTTCCTGGGGCATCCAGACACTGCTCCCCGGACCCCCTGGCCCACCTGTCCCCCAGGCCTCGTTCACACACTTGGGAACATCTGGGGTATGCCAGGGAGTGGGAGTCTTGGGTACCAACTGGAACCAACAACCACATCAAGGTGCCCCTCTCCTGGGCCTCCTACCACCCAGGTGGGCTGTTGTTCAACCCACACACCTAACAAAGATGAGGGTCTTGGCCATTGTGGCAAGTGCCAAGAGGGCCTGGAAGGGAGCACCAGCGGGGCAAGTGAATCCAGTGATGAAGTGAGCAAGGCCCCTGGTCCCCGGGCCTGCCTGCCCAACCAGCACACCAAGCTGAAGAAGACATGGCTCACACGACACTCGGAACAGTTTGCATGCCCAGGGGGCTGCCCAGGGGATGAGGAGAGCACAACTGGCCAGCTCCGGGCCCTCAAGAGGGCAGGCAGCCCTGAGGTCCAGGGAGCAGTGGGCAGCCCAGCCCCCAAGCGTCCACCTGACCCTTTCCCAGGCAGCATGGGGCAGGGGGCCAGAGGCTGGCAGGAGTTGCTGAACTCATCAATAGGGAACAAGGCGGAGGCAGAACGGCCTGATGACCAGAGAGGTAAGAGGGCTGTGTGAGGCTTGCAGGGGCCCCTGCTTGGGCAAGAGCAGCCGGTGCTGGGGCTTTGCAAGGGTGGAAATCACTAGGTCTGAGTGGTTCTCTCCCGGTTGTCAAGTTTCCCTCTGGGATCATGATGGTTCTCTGGGAATTCCTCAGCATCTTCAGGCCCGCGGTCTTCTAGCAAGTGGCTGTCCTCGTAGATCTCCTCCTGAGTCCCAGTGTGTTGATGGCAGTGTAAGGACGTGGTCAGAAGCCTGGGCTCTGGAGTCAGATTGCCTAGTTTCTGACTGCCAGCTGATAGCTGCCTGACTTTGGGTCTCAGTTTCTTCATCTATACAATGGGAATAAAGGTGGTACCTATCTTAGAAAGACAGCTGCAAAGATTAAATTATTAATAGAAAAAATATATTCACACATCTATTCTTCTGTCATCCTTAGTCATTGTCTCTGTAGGATACTCCAAGAGAAATTCTTGGTTGAGCTGGTTTCACACTATAAAAATGGAACAAGTATTATGCATCAAGTATCTTTTTAATTATATAATTTTAATAAATTATGCATATATATAAAAGAAAAATAGATCCACATAAAGGGCTTTTAAGACATCATTGCACTTCTTAAGCACTCATTAGGCAGCTCTGGTGGCCTACTGGTAAGGAGTTGCACTGCCTACCCAAAGGCATGTGGTTTGAATCCACCCGCTGCTATGAGTAAGGAAGAAGGGCAATCCCCTCCTGTACAATTTACTGCCTCTGAAAACCCACTGGAGTGTCGGCTGTGAGTTGGTTCTGCCTTGACAGTACATAGCAAGCACTCATCAAATGTTAGCTAAGTTATTATTCAGGTGACATTTCCCTGTCTGTGGCATGTCCTTTCCTGTCCCTCCTAAACGACTTCTTGTCTTGCCTCAGGAATGGCTACTTTCTTGGCCTGTTGGATTCAGAAGCCAAGTTTGCACTCTGTCGTACTGGCCCTTCGTAGAAGGTCCCAGCACAATTGGCCTCCATTTTGGTGACCCCTTTAATTCTCGGCTTTTGGGGCTCTGGACCTGGGTTTGGACTGGTGCTGGCCTTTCCAGAGTATCCCTGCACCTGGCGTGGATCTGTCCATGCCCTCCCAGACCTCTCTGCCTCTCCTGGGAACTTGTTGGCCCCTTCGCCTTCTCGGGTGACTGCACCTGTGGCCTGTGTTGAAACTCTTCAGCCTTCTCACCTTCCTGCGCCCTGTGTTCACGTTGGGATTATCTCCTCACACTGTCATGCAGCCAACGGTATCACTAAGCCTGCGGCAGAGCAGTCCAAAGCTGGCACTGGCCGGATCCTCTACTTGTGGCAGGATGCTTGCCCCTAACTGCTTCCAGCCTCGGGCCCGGCACCCCAGACCTCTTCTTCTTGGCCTTCAGTTGATGACAGGGCATTCTCAGGCTCCCTGCTCAGCCTGTTTTACTTTTTTTTTTTTTTTTTAAATAATCTTTGCCTAGTCCACTCTGACTGGTTCTGAATCAAGCCACAGAGGTTATGGCCAGGCACAGGGCACTGTTTATGTGTGGAGAGGGTGCTCCAGTCGGGGCTGGGCTGGCAAACCCCCAGAAAATGCAGACTTTTGACCAGCAGTGTTGTCCCCTCCAGGAACGGGAGATGGCAGGGTCAACCTCCAAGAGGAGGAAATTCAGGACACACCTTGCACAGCCCACCCGGCCGGTGTCTGTCAGTGTCAAAGCTGTGCTCAAGCAGCTGGAGAGGTGGGAGGACTGGCTGGCTGCTCCCAGCACGTGCGGAGGTGAGCCCGTGGCTCCTGGGCAGCCCCACCATCCTCTCTTTAAAAGTTTCCCTTCTCATCCGTCCCTGCTCTATCTTCAGATTGCCTCTACGAGGAGGAGCGGAGCAACCACCAGAGGACGACTCCACAGCCAGCTCTGAGGAGGGCAGAGGGTGGGGCCCAGAAGCCCAGCTCAGCGTGAGCCTCGCCAAGCACCTGCTGAGTGGTTTAGGGGACCGACTGTGCCGCCTGCTGCGGAGGGAGCGGGAGGTCCTGGCCTGGGCACAGCGAGCAGGTGAGCTCAGGCACACGCACCCAGGGACCATGAGGCCCTCTGGGTGGGGACTCCTCTGCTATTCCTCCTTCCCCCCACCGCTGTGGGCATTTCACATCCCTGCCCACAACTCTGAAATGCTCCCGTCCTACTCCACTTCTATTCCCCAGCTTGTGCCTTTAGTCAACATGTCTTATGATGTTTCTGGCCTGAGTGGGGGATGTTAGGAAGGTGTAAAGCCTGGTCCAGCCCAGTTCTCTGAGTGCTTCTGGTCTTGTTGGGAAAACAAGACTGGGTACCATTTGCCTCTGCGGGAGCATGTGGAAGTTGGTCTTTCTGAGGATTTGGGGGCTGCAGAAGGCTGAGGTAGTAAGATCTAGTCCTGGGAGGCTGGTAGACCTGGGGCTGATGTCAGAGGTGGATCTGAAGCAGCAGGCATCGAGCAGAGCCCTGCCCTGACTACCTCCTTTTCAAGACATCTCTGGTCCTGCCCCTCTCTGGGATGAAGGGTCACTGGTGCCCCAGAAACGCCAGTCCTCACATTTCATCAGCGGCCCCATCTTCTCCCCCACCACTCCCTTGCATACATCCTGGATTCCAGGCACACCGCACCACCACCCTTCCCGGATCACCCAAGCGTGTCCATACCCTCAGGCCTTGGCACTTGCTGATCCCTGTTTCTGGAATGGCCTTCTCCTCTCTCTGGTGAACGACACCCTTACTCATCGTTTGAGGTTCTTGTGAAGCCAAACGTCCCTCCTCTTTCCTACCCTTGGCCTCCCATTGCATTTTCAGGTTCCAACTCCACCACCACCTGGTGCCCTAACCATTGGCTCTGGGAAAATAAGGACCAAGTCCTTATAAGCTCAGAATGTGCAACATCCAGCAAGTGATAGGTGTTTGTCAAATGAATATATGAATGTATGCCTAATGGCATCTCTTCTACCAACCAACAAGGACTTGGTCTGAAAATTTACTCTTAAAATGCTTTCATTTGGATGAGGGGAGATGTAACTTTCTCCTAATGTTTCCTCTTCTGGTACAGAACCGTCCCCCCCCAAAACCAGAATGGTTATTATATGTTTCCACGTGTGGTAGCATACAGGACAGAGGTCGGGAGAGAGAGAGGTGGATAAAGAACATGTTGGAAGCGGTATAGCTTTAGGGCCAATGGAGGGACCGAAGGGGGCAGAAAGGGAATGGGGGCTTTAGTGAAGAGTGTTGCTGAGACCTTCACTTGTCTTTGGAAAGAGTTTATTGGAGAGGGTGGTGCTATAGTGAGGCTCTACTGTGTAAAGAAGGGGCATTTGTCACCCTTGGTTGGACCCTCAGTGATAACTGCTCCTTGCTTCTGCCTCATATCCCTGCCTGGGTCCTCAAAAGAGGATCTGCTGAGCCCTCTGACCCTGTTCTCTCCTGTGGTCGCCAGGCCAGGGTCCAGTCACTACAGAGGACGATGCAAGTGTTCCGCGCAGCTGCAGCCGTTGCCAGCATGGACTCTTCAACACCCACTGGAGATGCCCCCGCTGCAGCCATCGGCTGTGTGTTGCCTGTGGCCGAGTGGTGGGTGCGGGGAGAGCCAGGGAGAAAGCAGGTAGGAGACACGTGGGGACCCTGGGCGGGAAGGGATGGAGGTCTCAGCTGGGCTGTTCTAAAGTTTGTGACCCTGTTTTGGCTGCCTCACCTTAGGAAGTACTCCCCATCAACTCCCAGTCCCAGCCCCAGCCCTTTCCCTCTCCCCAGCTACCAAGGCCAAGCTCACAAGAAGTTAAAGTAGATATATCCTTCTTTACCCAACTTTCACATTTTAACACAACACTGAGACGTGGGAGTTACTGTCTCTCATTTACAGGTGAAAAAAAAAATAACCCTCAAATGACTTGGCCAAGGTCACACAGCTAGTAAGTGTTGCAGCCGAGATTTTAAGTCAGGTCTTCTGATTCTTGGGTTGCTCCCCTCTCCCCTTCAGCTCAGTCACTTGAGGGCTTGAAATTTCTCAGTGTTCCTGTTCTAATAGATGTGGCCATGAAGGGTTCTAAGGTCAAACCCTTTTCTAAATGTTCTAATCTGCATGGCCACCTTGAAGTCTTGCAGTGCATATCAGCATATTAAGGGCTCTGAATTCATCAAAGAAACATGCTTCACTGTTTAACAACAACAACCGCAAAAATTCCATGGTTTTAAGATTCTTTTTTTTTTAATGTCACCATTCTTTTTCTTCTTTATTATTATTTTATTATTTTGTGTGACTGGTACAGGAGGAGATTGTCCCTCCTTTTCCCAGCAGAGCATCTGGTGGATTTGAACTGTGTGCCTCTGGGACAGCAGCAGAGCTTCTTGCCACTAGGCCACCAGAGCTCCCCGGTTTTAAGATTCTTGAGCTCCTTAATTTAGGCACCATGTCCTTGACCAATTTCCCCTGAGCGTCACCTTGGTTACCTTGATTTCCTGACCTTCCGCTTCCCCCTTCCCACCCACAGGCTCTCGGGAGCAGTCCACAGAGGAGTGTGTCCAGGAGACTGGGCACAGTGCCTGTTCTTTGATGCTGACCCAATTTGTCTCTGGCCAGGGTGAGCCATCTTGGGAGGGGTGTGGAGTGCAGTGGACTTGAAGCAGACTGGCTTCCGGTCTGCGTGCCCTTCACCTAGATCCCATCCTATTTGGTGAGGCAAAGTCATACAAGCCCCCACTTATCATCCATCTCTTATCTCCCCCCCCTCCACAGCTTTGGCAGAACTGAGCACTGCAATGCACCAGGTCTGGGTCAAGTATGACATTAGGGGGCACTGCCCCTGCCAAGCTGATGCCAGGGTGTGGGCTCCTGGAGATGGGGGCCAGCAGGTAAGATTCAGGACAAAAGACAGGTGACAAAGGGGCAGGTGGTGGTGGGCCTCAGGCTTGGGTGTGTCTGAGATTACTGGCTGGAAGCTCTGTGGGGCAGGTCTCCTCCGGCCTGTAGGCTCCCTGAATTAGTGGGTTCGAAGCCACTGGGGTTATTTCTGCATACTTTAGACCATACTGTGTTTAGGATTCCCTAAGCAACTCTTTTCTACCTAACATTACACTGTATAACATTTAGTGCTTTTCTTGTTTCTGAGAATTCATTGTGTTTTTCTGTGAAGAGTCATGCAGTAATTTTGGTTCCTGTTCAATAATTTCTACACGAGTTGTTCTATGGCATTGTTCGCATTCTTCGAAATGTAGGAACGTCTTCATTATTTCCATTCTGGCTGTTCCGATTGGTGGCTTTCTTTTGATGGCAACATAGAGGGACCTGAGAGCAGGGTGAAGTCAGGTTATGGCCCTGCCTTTCTCTGGGGCTGAGGATCCACAGACGGGGGTGCTTGCACATGGCATTTGCCCTGCCCTCCCCTCCCTCGGCACAGTTCTGTCTGCACAGACCTCCTCCTGCTCTTGGTGCATAGTTTAGCTTAGCACTTGCCACAGAGCTCTTTGGCGTGTGGCAGGTCATGGCCTGGCCTCCTTCACAATAGTCCCTGAACTTAGCTCACAGTGGGTGCTCAGTATCCAGTTTTAGAAGTTTTCATAAAGTAATTTTGTTATTACAACACTCATTCACTCAAGAAATTTTTTGGAATACATTTTACGTGCTCTGCCCTGCTGTACTCCATACTGGTTGTGGAAAATACAAGTATAAAGAAGAAAAAGATGAGACATATAATGCCACCAGTAACATTTTGACATATTTTCCCAGTTATTTTATTCATAACTCTTTTGGTGGCTTTGTGATAAGGAGTCATACTGCTGACCCAATGACAGGTGGTTTGAATCCACCAACTGTTCTGAGGGAGAAAGATAGGCAATCTTCTCTTGTGTGATTGACTACTTTTGCAAACCCACTGGATGGTCAGCTATGAGTTGGTTTCAACTCAATGGCACATCAGAGCAACATCACTGTAGCATATAGGGGTCCTTCCTGGTTGCACAGGGATTAAAAACCTTGATTTGATCAGCAGCTCAGACCCACTAGATGCTGCATAGGGGAAAGTTGTGGCAAGCTGCCCTCCTAAATATTGCAACCTTAAAAGCTCTGTGGAGAAGTTCTACTTTGTCCTATAAGACACCGTGAGTCATAATCAACTTAAATCTCTTTGGTTATTTTAGCATACTTCAGATTACACTATATTTAGGGTTCCCTAAGAAACTCTTTTCTACCCAACATTGTATCATACAACATTTTCCTCTTTGTAAAACATGTTCTTAGGAATGTACAAAGTCCATTGCTAATGCTTGTGCCTAAACTGAAATTAGGTGCATTTGCCATCTTAAAATCTCAGTTTGGATGAGGGGAGGGGAATAGTATGTTGCCAGGAGGAACCAGTCCTTGGATAAGGAGATCACGCTTGGAAAGGTGGAGGGGCAATGCAGATGAAGAAGAGCTTGGATGAGATGGACTGAGGCAGTAACTAAGGTTATAGGGGCAAGTGTGTTGGAGACAGAGAGAGCGGCTCAGGACAGGACAGGGTTCAGAGCTACTGTGCATGGGGTCACTATGAGTTGCAGATGACTCAGTGACACATAACAACAACAACAACAACATAGGTTTACCAGAAGGAATCAGCAGAGAAAACTCCCCCTCAACAACCTGCCTGCAATGGGGATACCAACAGGACCAAGGACATCAAAGAGGGTGAGCAGCTTGTTCCCTTGGCCCGGGAGGGAGGGACGGTGGGCCAGGGTTTGAGATAGAGAGGGAACAGCAGCTGGTGGCGGGTTCCAGGAGGTCCCACTCCCGTCCCCAGTTAGCTCTATCACTCCTCTCACATCCTTCTAGACTAAAAATAATCTCAACATAAGTCTAAAATAAGCCCAGCCCACAGCCTTGGCCTCAAGGCTTTCGTCTAGATCTTCTGTTCTAAGCTTAACCAAAGTACCAGTTCTGAGCCTTCCTTTCTAGACATCTGGAGCTGACATCAGGGAACACGTTTGTGGGCAGGTGGGAGCAGGAATGTGTTTTCTGTGGGCAGGTGAAGGCAGTGCGCAGAGAGCAGGCCTGACCAGGAGGTGTAAGAGGAGTGTAAGACAGTAGAACTTCATGAGAAAAGGGGAGCCAAATTGGAAGCCCCTCACCATTTCTTCCTCAACAGAGATCCCAGATTCCACAGAGAGCCCAGCAGAGGACCGTGCTGGCCGAGGGCCCCTACCTTGTCCCTCTCTCTGCGAACTGCTGGCCTCCACTGCTGTCAAACTCTGTTTGGGGCATGAGCGGATACACATGGCCTTTGCCCCTGTCACTCCGGCCCTGCCCAGCGTGAGCAAGGGCATGGAGGGAGGACTGGGAACCTGGGGACCAGAGGCTGGGCCAGCTCTCCCTGACAGCCTGGGTGAGTCCTGAGCCTTCCTGTCCCTCCATCCCTCCCTCCTTGCAGGATGATCGTATCACCAACATCCTTGACAGCATCATTGCACAGGTAGTGGAGCGGAAGATCCAGGAGAAAGCCTTGGGGCCAGGGCTTCGGGCTGGGCCAGGCCTACGCAAGGGCCTGGGCCTGCCGCTGTCCCCCGTACGGCCCAGGCTGCCTCCCCCTGGGGCTCTGCTGTGGCTTCAGGAGCCTAGGCCTCGACGTGGCTTCCACCTCTTCCAAGAGCACTGGAGACAGGGCCAGGTGAGGCCTCCCATCACTACCCACCTCACATTGCATGGCCGACCCATCAAGGTCTTGGTTTCTGGGTTCAGGTAGATATCCAGGTGCTGAGAGAGCAGCAAGCCCTGGTCCCCATGCTGTTCTGGTTCATTCTACATCACCACTCAGCCTGGTTATGGTGGGGCCCCTCCTCCATCCTATGTTCCATGCCACCTTACTCTCTCCATTCTCCCTCAACAGCCTGTGTTGGTGTCAGGGATTCAGAGGACTTTGCGAGGCAAACTTTGGGGGATGGAAGCTCTGGGGGCACTGGAAGGACAGGTCCAGGCACTAACACCCCTCGGGCCTCCCCAGTCCACAAGCCTGGGCAGCACAGCATTCTGGGAGGGATTCTCCCGGACTGAGAGTAAGTATTCCCAAGATGGGTGAGAGGGAGCTGGGTGCCCCAAGTCCTAAGGGAGCAGCTGAGCCGTGGAGAGGCCTTGGCTGTGTCTAGAAGCAGGGCTCAGGGGTTAAAAACGGAACTCTTATGTTACTATCACTGAGGAGGGGAGATTCAGGACAAGGAAGTTCCTCCCTAGACCAATGGCCATTCTGTCTTTTCTCCCTCAGTTCGCCCAAAGTCAGATGAGGGGTCTGTCCTCCTACTGTGCAGAACTCTGGGGAAGGAGGATGCTGACAGGTATGTAAGAGCCAAGGGCTAGCCTGCTCTCCCCAGCTGCTGTCTGTCCACTGCCCATGTCTCCCTCTTCTTTCACGCCCTCTCTCTCTGTGTCCCTTCATTCACCTCTGCTTGTATGTTAAGGTCATCCCAAGGAGGGCACCACCCTCGTGGTGGAGGGTGCCTGGGTTGGGTCTGCTGAGCATGGCCCCTCTCCCCCTACAGGGTAGAGAACCTGACTGCCAGCCTGCCACTCCCAGAGTACTGCGCCCCTCATGGGCAGCTCAACCTGGCTTCCTACCTCCCGCCGGGCCCCACCCTGCATCAACTGGAGCCTCGGCTCTGGGCAGCCTATGGTGAGTGCTGGACACCCTGTGGTGAGAGCTGGGCACCAGGTCCACTCTTTTCCTGCCCGGTCCCTAGCCCCATGCCCTGTCATCACTAGGCCTGGTTGTGTCTGTACCAGGGCCCTGAGACCCAGAGGGCTTCTTCTCATTTCATCCCTCAGCTGTCCTCTCTCCACCTCCCTACAGGTGTCAGCCCACACCGTGGACACCTGGGGACCAAGAACCTATCTGTGGAGGTGACTGACCTGGTCAGTATCCTGGTATACGCTGAAGCACCACTGCCAGCCTGGCACCGGGTACAGAAAGGTGAGTTGTTGACTGGAGACGACTATGGTGGGGACAAGTTACAGACATGTGGTTTCTCTGCCTACCTTGTCACACTGAGCTTGCTTTCTCCCTCAGACTTCCTCTCAGGCCTGGACGGAGAGGGGCTGTGGTCTCCAGGCAGCCAGGTCAGCACCGTGTGGCACGTGTTCCGAGCACAGGACGCCCAGCGCATCCGCCGCTTTCTCCAGATGGTGAGGAGGATGCGGGCGTGGGGCTGACAGCCTCCCCTTTCCATTGCCCAGCCCCCACACTCCTTGGGTGCAGCTCCCAGACTGAGGTGCACTTCCAGTCTGCCCAAGTGCCCGGTGTGATCACGTGCTGCCCACAGCCAGCCTCAGTCCTTACCCACCTCCCTCAGGTGATTTGGACATACCGGGTCCACACAGGTACGGAGAAGGCTGACCCAGGAATGTGGTGGAGCTCAGAGAAGAAGGCAGGGGAAGTTGAGGCAGCAGAGTTAGGACTTAATGATATAATAGGAGCAATGCTGTCACTTCTTAGAGGCCTACCACATGGCGGCAGTTATGCCAAAGGCCTTCAGTACTTCATCTCATTTAATTGTCACAATCACCTCCTGAAGTGGTTATGGCTAACCCCTTTTTATAGATGAGAGAACAGGCTCAGTGGTAGAGCTGGCATCTGAGCCTATGTCTGTTCCAACCGCAGGGTCACTATGCTGGGCTGCTCCTCAGAGAGGCAGCTTCTCCTTCATGGGCACGGGGTGAGGACGAGGTGGAAAACAAAGAGATTTCACCTGAGATGCTGTCTTTCCATGTTCGTTTTCCCTCAGTGACTGGTTTAATGGAGACGGGTGTGTCAGAGACAGTGCAATTGGCACAGGACAGAGCAGAGTTTAGGGCTGTTGTATATAGGGTTGCTATGAGTCGCAAGCAACTTGACAGCACATAACAACAACAGTCTTATGAGGAGAGATTTCTTGGAGGAGGGCCTCTCTGAGACACCGGCAAGAAAGGGGGCTGAGGGAAACAGGTGAGGTGGAGGTAGATTCTGAGCCAGAATAAAGAGCCAGGGAAAATGAGGACATGTAGACAGAGGAGTTAAGAGGTAGGAACCTCCAGAAAATTAGAAGATGTTGGTCATTGTTAAAGGTAGGGCAGGGCCCACAGTTTCAAAGTCCAGGTAGGTGAGCCCTCATTATCCTGGGGAAACACTTCTACCAGGTGTTCACCCCTGCCAAATCACACATATGTATACACATACGCACCCCGCCCCATGAATCTGCTACCACCTTCCTGCCCACCAGCACACAGGTCCACAGACACATCTAGACAAATAGGCTTCAATAGATGCATACACAGAAATCAGAGCTCACAGGGAAACAGACAGAAGCACACCTTCACAAACAGATGGCCTAATGTAGCCTGGGTGTGACTGGCTGTGATCTCAGGTGGCCCTGGGAAGTCCTGTATGACCAGACCAAGATGACTCATGGAGAAGGTCTGAGGGCACATTCTCACTGGGTGGGCCTGAGGAGCCCTGCTCCAGCTCCCGGATGGACCTGAACTTCAGGGGGGCAAAGGAATCTTGGCATCTGGCTAAAATTGCCTTGGGGTCCAACCTGCTTAGCCAGCCAATTTCTCCTGCATGGCCCAGTCTTGTAGCCCTACGCCTGGGAGCAATGGCTGAGTGAGGCTGGTGACCAGTTGGAGCATGATGCTGGCGTTCACCCCTGCAGGTGTTCACAGGGCACTTCCTTCTCTGGCTCCCACGAGTCCCTGCCTGTCTCAGGAGCTCCTGTCTGGTTGGGCTGGTGAAGGCCCCTTAAATCTGTGCCCGCTCCAGAGGCTGCAGCCTGGACAGGCCTGCCTGTCCACCCACTTGGGAGCTAGAACTCCTGTGTGGCCTTGCCTTTATTGGATTGAGATCTTAGAAGAATCTGATGAATGCTTTGGATTGTCTCATCAGGGACACCCACAGTTTAGCATATAATTTAGAAAGTTCTTAACGAGTCCAGGTTAAGAACTGCTAGTATAGACACTTATGCTCTGGGATTATTCATGAAATCCTCCTAGATTTCAGAGGAAGGTGCACTGTGGAGAACGGAAGCAAAGGCGCTATGGCTGCAGAGACTATTAAAGGCACCTGAAAGCAAACAAAAAACCTGTTGCCATCAATTTGATTCAAATTCACGGCAACCCCAAGGTGTCAGAGAAGAGCTCTGCACCCTAAGGTTTCAAGGGCTTATTTTTGTAGAAGTAAATCACTAGGCATTTCTTTTGAGGCACATTTTGAGTGGCTTCAAACCTCCAGTTTTTTATTTAGCCACCAACTCTGTTAACTATTTACGCTACCCAGGAAGGGACTCAACTGAAGGCATTTGATTTCAAGAAGGGCAATTATTTAGATCACTTTTGCTCATAATCATCAATCTTTTCCTCTAAATTCCTGACTAGATGTCTGTCCCTTGTCCTAAGCTGCCCCTGGTCTCTTTTTTTTCCCCCTCCCAACCTCTCTGTCTCTCTCTCTCTGCCTTTTCTTTGAAGATTTAGGCATATCATCTCTTCTCCTCACCCCTTTCCTCTGGGAAGGCTATGCTCTGCGTCCTCTAGCAGCCTGCCGTCCCTCCTACCCCTCACTCATACTCATCCACCCTTCTTTTCTTTCAGGTATGCCCTGCTGGGGCAGGCACCCTGGAGCCCGGGGTCCCTGGCAGCTGCTACCTCGATGCCGGGCTGCGGAGGCGGCTGCGGGAAGAGTGGGGTGTGAACTGCTGGACCCTTCTCCAAGCACCTGGAGAGGCTGTGCTGGTGCCTGCAGGGGCCCCCCACCAGGTGCTTCTGCTGTGGGGTGGGGTGAGGAGGCTGTTCTTGTGGAAAGATCAGAATAGCAGAGGCAGCAAGAACACACAGTACATTTATATGGTGATCCCTGGCCCTGTTATGACTTCATTCCTCTCAGAACTCTGAGAACTGGGCAGAGGGAACAGGAATGCACGTCCTTGTTATAGAGACGCAGGAAGGGAGCAGCTGAATGTCTTCTTAATGCCACAGCCAATAGAAAGCTGTGTTTCATCCTGACCTCCTCAGCATGCTGCAGTGCTCCATGTCCTCAGATGCCACTGCCTGAGCCCTTGCTGGCATCCTTTCAGTCTACTTTTGGCCAAACCCTTTAGAGTGTCTAGTTGTATATCCAATCTCTGAGCATTAGATGGGGTTTATAGGAGAGGATCTGTGACCCTGAGTCTCTGCTGATCCTCTTGCCATGACCTTCCTGGCACAGGTGCAGGGCCTGGTCAATACTGTCAGTGTCACTCAGCACTTCCTGTCTCCTGAGACATCAGCCCTCTCAGCTCAGCTCTGCCACCAGGGACCCAGCCTTCCCCCTGACCGACGCCTGCTTTGTGCCCAGGTGAGTGGCGTGCAGCCCACCCCTGCCCCTCTAGGGTCTGTCTTTCCAGGGCTCCGTTGGGGTGCACACAGCAGATTCAGCTCTGCCCCAGGAGGCAACTAACTGTCTAAGGGAGAAGAGTGTTCTTCCTGGTGAGAGTGGAAGACCCAGGCCCAGGAATGTGGCTGAACTGTCCTTGTCTTCTCTTTCTCCTAGATGGACTGGGCTGTGTTCCAAGCGGTGAAGGTGGCTGTGGGAACATTACAAGAGGCTAACAGGGGGATCCCAGGTGTCTAGAGCAGGGGTGGGGAACAGGTGGGCCAGGTGCACAGCTTCAGCAGGGAGACCTGTTTGGGGACTTGGAAACTTTTGGTCAATCTGGCAAGCAAAGTACCACTCTGGGCACAAATAGGGCACCCCATTCTACGCCTCTGCCCTGGGCACCCAAATCAACAACCACAATGGCACCGAAGCTCCCTCTTCATAGTACCTGGTCCACATCAGAGATGACTGGCTCACCCCACCCCACCTCCTAACCCAGGAGAAAAACAACCCTTCCTTGGGGGACCTTGAGAATCATTCTGGCTTTAGCAACACCTGCTTCCTCTGCCTTGTCACCTCCTGCCTCCACCGTGCTCTGAACTCTGCTTATACCACCTTCACCCTCTGTTCTCCCAGGTGTTTCTGGGCAAGGAGCCCTTGAGATCTGCCCTCTCTCGCCCACCACCAGGGGAGTTATCAGTGTCAAGGAGGGAGGGGATCATGGGACTTACCAGGCTTGGTTGGAAGGAGTGATTTGGATGATGCCACCCTGCCCATGCTCCCTCCCTCCACACTCGTTTGTGAATGCTGCCAGTGTGGTTGGGGAGGGAGGGGAAACATGGAAATCTATGGTGGGCGGGACTGGGGTCAGGATAATAGGGGCTGCCACCACCTCTGCCCGCTCCTCTACCTGGGACCTGGGGTCTTGGCACCCACTGAGGAGAAAATGGAACGTTCTGTGAGGCTGCCCCCCAAAGATGACTCCCGGCAGGCACAGCAGCAAAGCAGAGCCCCAGGGCACAATAGCACCACCTCTGTGCAGCCGTGGCGACTGAGAACCCAGAGCTACAGCCTCCCTGTACACCCAAGCTACCCACTTCTCCTAGCTGACCTGCTGTGGAGACCCGGGCTTGGGGCCCAGGGGAGCCCTTGCCCAGCTGGTCGGCTAGAATGTCTCAGAT